TGACAATTCCTAGGTCACCCCCGTGCTGCGCATTTTCTCTTTCACTGGAATAAAATGAATTATAAGCCCCATTTTCTTTTCTTCTCCAACTCTTTGTATTTTACCACACACCTTCTGAGAATCGTTTTGTTTTTTTAAAAAAAGTATTAGGAATGACTATGTTCTTGTTAAGAAAACAAAACCAAATTCTGGGCATGTTTATTCCTAACAATGTGTCCAGTAAACCTTTGAATACAAGGATAATGCAAAAGCTTTCTTTTGGCATGTTTTTTTCCCCTCCTTCCGTGTGGTAGGCCATGAATTATGTTTGTGGTGAAATGTTATTTTTATTACTTTCATCCACCAGCTTTGCTTTAATTCTCTGCTGTCTTTCTGGGTTGTATTGTGCTATTCTGTACCGCCGTTGCATTGTTAATAGCGTTAGTATAAACTCCGCTGCTATCCAGAGCTATGTGAATGCACCACCCACACATATGAAGCAGAATTTTGATGTCAGTTGCTCATAGGTGTTTTTTAAAAGAGCTCTTGATCTTGACATAGGGACTCCCTGCATGACTGGTGTTGTGGCTATTGTCATGAATGAAATGCAAGATAGGAGAAGGAGGGCACAGAGGCCAAGGCTGCATACACACAATATATTTAAAGCATATCCCCCACTCTCCATTCATTGTATTTTCCTCTCACGGTGCCACCCCTCCCCAGACACCTTTCCCCCAGACAGAGTTTCATGCTCCGCATAACAAATACAGAGCTGGTACTTGGGTTGCTGGTTTGTGGGATGTGTGAGAGAGAGATACTGGGGGCAGAGGTTCTGTGTACAGGGGAGAGGGTTCAGCACCCCACCCTTTTCCCTGTTGCTACTCTGCTAGAAATTGTACCCCCACTTCCCGAATTTGCAAAGGAGAAACAGTAGCCAATACTGAAGAGATAAGGTTAAGGCAGATTGTTTTGTGCTTAGCATTCATCTTTGCCTGCCAAACCAGCAAAAGTGAAAGAAAGCTAAAGCTCTCAGGCCTGGTTCAGTTTCTTTCCCCTTTAATGTCTGAGGAGTGCTGCTGATGTTGAACTCTCTTTAAGAGGTGACTTCATATTCTAAGGCAGTGACGTAGCGTGGGTTGCCAATGTGCAGGGCCACTTGAGGGGAAATAGACAGAGTACACACTGAGCTGCCTAACGGCGTCTACATCGCCCAATATATTGTAGCCATAGAAATAAGAAAAGAAGAGACATTAAGGTGTTGAAATTTTGTGCCCCTAACAATTTTGTGCCCCTGTGGCCCCCTCCATGATACACCACTGTTCTAAGGCAGAAGCTGTGTTCCTCCAAATATTGGTGGATTCCGACTCCCACCAGCGCCAACCCGCATGGCCAATATCCCCATCCCTGTCCTAATGTGAACTCTTTGAAACACCCAGGTTCTTGCCAATATTACTAAGCAATATTCCCTGCGCTCAGTCACAGGCACTCCATAATTAATCCTAAATGTGCAGTGGTGGAGTGCACTGGTGGAGCTTGTTGATACAAATGATAGCAACATGACTTGAAAAGGAATGGCAGGCAAGGGCACTTCATGTGAAATATGTTCATTTTGCTTTCAGGCCTCTCCACATTTTGAAGGACTTGGAAATTCTGTCAGAAACCTGAAAGATTAGAGAGTCCAAAACAGGGGGAGTATTTATTTAGACAGGAGCTTTCTCCATTGAGAAGGCAAGGCGGCTTTGGAGCTGTGTAATGAACACCAGCACAAAATACCTTCCTTTCCATTTGTCATTTAACACTCCAGTGGGCTCCAGCTTTTGGGATTCAAGTACTGTGCGGTGATATCCAGGTACCGTCATGGCACTTTATTAGTTCTAGTGTAATCTTTTTATGCCATTGGTAGGTTTATCCAGCTGGTAAAATGCTGTGGCTTTGAAGTGAGCTCTGCTGTTTAGCATTTAATATTCCCCTTTTTTGCTCTGCAATTAGCTTCCCTAATGCAATTTAATCTATCTGAAACATTTCTCAAAAATCATGGCGGTAAACACGAACTAAGCTAAATCTCTTGAACTTTTCCTTAACGCTAATTTCAAATGCCAGCAGGGCACCAACTGCTGTGAAATTAATGAATGAGCAACACCAGACTGTCTTTCATTTTCATTTGAATGATTTTTGCACTCAGAGAGCATTTGCAAGCAACCAAATGATGCTAACGATGCTGAAGCAACAACCGTTTAGCTCCTGGCCAGGCCGTTGTAGGAGGCAGACCTTTCCTTCTTTTCTCTGCATTGGAATGCATTGGTCCTTTCAGAAAGACATGTTGTTTTGATTTATTCACAAATACAGCAATACCCAGTACAGCCTATTGCTTGTTGGCCACACCCCATTTGAATGTGGCAGAGAAATTCCAGAAGTCCTACAAGAGAGGCAGAAGATATAAGGGTATGGAACAGCCTTTTCTCAATATTGGGTCCCTAGATGTTGTTGGACTAAAACTCCCATCATTCCTGACCATGGTCTTGCTAGCTAGGGATCATGGGGGTTGTAGTCCAACAACATCTAGGGACCCGAAGTTGAGAAAGGCTGATACAGAGTACCTTTCTGCAGAGCCCCTTGAATTTCTTACTCGTCCCGATTCAAGGATGGTAAAGCTGGTGCTTTTTTTCTTTAAAAATGTTTAGGGGTACTCTCATTTTCCTACTCAGATTGAAATACTGCCCCTCAGTGAGGCCAAACTTCACAAAATGCTTAGGAGTATGCGTACCCCTACGTCCCCCCAGAAAAAAGCACTGGGTAAACCTGTGGCTCTCCAGATGTTGTTGGATTGCAACTCCCCTCAGTCAATGGTCAGGAATGATAGGGGTTGTAGTAGAGCAATGTCTACAGCAGAGATTGGCCCTGGATCATGGAGGTCTGAAGCAAAACCCAACCGTGCTTGTGATGATGTGTGGCAAAGAGGCAGGAAGGAAGACCACTGTACTATCTGCAGAAGAATCTATTATTCCCTGGGAAGAACAAATTGGAGATCCAAGTCCTAGCATTGAGCTAGAACAAGCCAAATGTCTAAAGGAGAGCTCCCACTCTCTCCTAGGCAAATACACATGGGATCAGAACTTGGCTGATGTGGTTTCCAAAGCATTTGTCCTAAGCCACAACATCTAGCCAAAAGGAAATAGTTGCAACTTATGAGGTGTGTCCCCACCTCCTTGAGCTGAGCTAAGCTAGGACAGTGAAAGAAAGTATACAGGGCCTGGGGTGGGGGAATTAATACACTGGGGCTGTGTCCAGTAAAGGTGCTGTTGTCTGGTCCGATTAGGGCAGAAAGGGATAATGCTGTTTGTAAAGGTAAAGCGACCCCTGACCATTAGGTCCAGTCATGACCGACTCTGGGGTTGTGGCACTCATCTCACTTTATTGGCTGAGGGAGCCGGCGTACAGCTTCCGGGTCATGTGGCCAACATGACTAAGCCGCTTCTGGCAAACCAGAGCAGCACACGGAAACGCCGTTTACCTTCCTACCAGAGCGGTACCTATTTATCTACTTGCACTTTGATGCGCTTTCGAACTGCTAGGTTGGCAGGAGCAGGGACCGGGCAACGGGAGCTCACCCTGTTGCAGGGATTCAAACCGCCGACCTTCTGATCGGCAAGTCCTAGGCTCTGTGGTTTAACCCATAGTGCCACCCGTGTACCTTAATGCTGTTTGTGGACTGTACTAAATTGCTGGTAAAATATATTTCCTCATACAAATTTTAGTGATAAGTCCAACTAAAAACCAAACTTTAAAACAATTGAATCAAAGGGACTCCCCCATCCCACTATGCAGGGAACTTGATGCTGAGGTAATCTTAATTCAGCAAGTGTACTTTTTTGTTCTGCCATTGGGAGTCTCTGATAACAAGCATGTGTGTGTGAGGCAGAAATCAGAGAGTGTAACCATTAAAATAAGTTTCATTTTCAACTAACTGATCAAATCAGCTCTTTTGCTGGGAACTAGTTTAAACAATGGTGTGGCTAAATAATAAATAATTCCATCTCCCCCACCCCAGCCTTTTCTTGTATGCGCAGACACATGCACACCCCCTCTACATTGCAGCAGTTGTCTGGAAAAGAAGAACAAAATAGGAGGAAAAGACTAATTGTATTTGCACTTGGGAAAAATGCCTCTGCAGTGTTTCCTGAAGTCACATACCAAATGGGAACACTGAGTAATGCTAAATGAAAGCAAGCAAGATGAGGCTGGAGCACATTATTGAAATGATGAGGATTTGCACATTTCCCCTCCTGTCTGCACTTAATATCTAATGGACTTAAACAGCAGTGGTAGGCTTGTGATGATGAGATGTGAGCGGCCGATCCCACTTAATGGATATAAATTAACAGAAAGTTCAAGTGCATCTTTAGAAGATGGAACATAAAGCAGCTTGTAAGCTGCCATCATGCGCAAATGACTTGAATGGGCATCACACCATCTCTGTGGTAGAAAAAGGGCGACTATCCCCACTTCCTGCTACATGCTGGGGCCGGACAGTTAACTTTCACTTTCTCCTCTCCCTTTCACTCTTGGTATTCTCCAAGGGCAGGCAAGGTCCTCAGTTGTGTCATTTTTCATCACTCTCCTAGATAAATGATGACATCCTTATTCTCTGTTTGTTGTCAGATACAAAAGCTGTTCGGGTCGGGGGGGACTCATAATTTATGAGGATGATTTATACATCTAAACACCTGTCAAGCTAAACTTTAAACAAAATAAAGTTTTCAAGCCTACATTGGGACAAACAGCATATCTAATGGCGCAATGTCACGCTTCCTCGAAAGACATTGCTTCTGTCGGTTTGTAAGAATCCTTCAAGTAAGAATCACCATGGCCGGCTCTAAGTCACAAGGGCACTTGTTTCCTTCCAGATTTTGTCTCCATCATTCTGTCAGGTGGGTGCCATAGGTGGGTGGGTAGTAATCCACCACCAAGGGTCACTGCTGCACATAGCGTGCGCATGAAATGTGCGCAATACCAGACAGATAGTTAGCTGGTGCTTTCAGCTTTGATGGAGTCCAAGCATCTTTCCTCATCTGGTGCCTGAACTTTATCAAAGATGAAGGCACCAGCTAACTATCCATCTGGTATGGTGCACATTTCATGTGCATGGTGTGTGCAGCATCCTTGCATGTTAACAAACACGGACACGAGAACACACATCTTCTATTCAATTCAATTAGGATGTTAATGGCATAAAGGTATGCCGATGGATAATAGTCTCAACAATGGGAATAAATGCTGCTCATTCATCTCTTATGGAGATGGAAGTTATCACTTTACTGCCCACTGTATTTATTATTATTATTATTTACTGAAGGTTGGTTCCATCTGCTTCGGCTCACAGTTCTGCAAAATATACAGTTCAGTATTAACCTTAGAATACTGACTACAGAAGAGGAAGGAGCAGGAGCTGATAATCTGAATGTTCAACTTGTGAGCACTGTGTTTACCATCCAGAAAGGAGAGGATAATGCAGTAAACATTGGTGGCAATGTCTTTATTTTGCTTGGACAACACCAGGATAATCAATATTCACATAATAGATGCATATTTCCTATACAGATATCTATTTATCTAATGGTTTTGTGCATGTACACACACACGTCCTAAACACACACACACACACACACACACACACTATGTATAATGTTTTGTCCCCTGGACTGTTGGCTTAGAATTTCCAGAATGATGCATTTTCTATATTGCATTACCCACAATTACCAGCCAGAGGCAAATGTTAAGTATCACCTCAGAAAGACATTCTCATCTCATTATTAATACAGAAAGCTTTATTCAACCACGAGATTAAATCCCACCTTTCAGAAAATTGCAAATTGTGAGGAGCAATCTGCATACATTTGAACTTCTGTACTTTGACAGCTGATTCTTTCCCCACTCAAAGCTGTGCTCAAAATTTTTAATAATACAAAAACCTATGCTTAATCTATTCAAACATTATTTAAAAAATTCTCTTGAAATGAAATCACTGTGGAACATGTTTTGGGATGGGAAAGGTAGATGTTCTTACAGATCCTTTTTTTAAAAAAAAATCATGAATATTTTAACTGATCTTTTTGATTAATTTAAAATCATATTTCCTGAGCAGCTGACTCAAAGTCAAGCAAAGATTAAATTTCAATCGGACACTAGTATTTAGATGATAGTCTTTTTCTGTTTGAAATCTATTTCACAATGCACAGAGAAGCGATTAACAAAGGAGTTCTTCCTCTTGGTTAAGGGATGTGAACATTTAAATATGTGGTAGGCAAACAAGACATTTTAATTGGTATTAGCACACAATCATGGTTATGGCTCTGTCAACATTTCCTTTATTAACCTTGATGTCCAAATGCTTATGACTAGAATGCTGAAATCCATGTCCGGCTGAATCTCGATCTGTTACTTTTGGATTCATCAAACTGTTTCTACTGCAGATGTTTGCTTATTTATTTAAATTCTCCACCCCAAAGGTTCAGTGTTGGAGCAGGAATGCATCATGTGGCTCCCACCCCCCCACCCCCCGAATAAACACAGCAGTAGAAATGAAGACAGTACCAAAAATAAAATAATTAAAGCTTCTGTATAAAGCTGGCAAGAAATAACGTTTTCAGCAAAGACAATGAAATAAGAGTCGAATATGCAAATAATGCAAGTTGTGGCCCAATGATAAATAAGGTACTGAAAAGTTCAGTTGATTTTATTTGTTTGTTTATCAGTATTTTTTATACCGCCCACCAATCATATTCCGAGGGCAGTTTACAAAAAGAATAAAACAATTAAAATGCAAACACAATAAATAAAGGATGGCAGCCAACGATACACATACTCAGAGTAGACCCATAGAAGAGCCCACTGATTCCATTGGGTATGTGTTGATTATGACTAAGGTAAGCTATATCACCGAAAATGAACTAGAATCCACAAAGTTAAAATGTGAATGAGTTAAAAATGTGGATATTTTAGCTGCATTATACTTGTGCAGAGCATTCCAGTGAGAGAAGTCTCACAACGACAGGGATGAAAGTGAGGGCAGGGACTGTTAAAAATGAAGAAATATTACTTCCCCCTCCCAGAAGGGTGAAGGAGAGGGATCCTCCAATCTGAACTAGGAATGCCAATTAGGACCCCCTCTATCAATGGTTAAAAAGCAGAGACATCACCTTACCAATAAAGGTCCGCATAGTTAAAGCCATGGTTTTCCCAGTAGTGATGTATGGAAGTGAGAGCTGGACCATAAAGAAGGCTGATCGCCGAAGAATTGATGCTTTTGAATTAAGGTGCTGGAGGAGACTCTTGAGAGTCCCATGGACTGCAAGCGGATCAAACCTATGCATTCTTAAGGAAATCAGCCCTGAGTGCTCACTGGAAGGACAGATCCTGAAGCTGAGGCTCCAATACTTTGGCCACCTCATGAGAAGAGAAGACTCCCTGGAAAAGACCCTGATGTTGGGAAAGATGGAGGGCACAAGGAGAAGGGGACGACAGAGGACGAGATGGGTGGACAGTGTTCTCGAAGCTACAAACATGAGTCTGACCAAACTGCGGGAGGCAGTGGAAGACAGGAGTGCCTGGCGTGCTCTGGTCCATGGGGTCACGAAGAGTCGGACACGACTAAACGACCAAACAACAACAACAATCAATGGTAATAAATTTGTTTTATTGAATAAATTATCCACCTGAAGCACACTTGTATTCATGCACTTGTTATGTAGATATGTTTGTGTATACATTTATGAAATGCCCACCCCATTACCAATGGAACCCAGGATAGCCAATGAAGCAAACAACAGAATTGTTTGTTATTGCATAGTATAACCCTGAGCTGTAAATGTAGTGTTTGAAAGAAACAGAGAGATCATGGAGATGATCCTATATAAAGCTAAGTGCATGAAAATGTATTTTAAATCAAGGTGACCCATATGCGCATAACATCATGTACAAAATCACCAAAGACATTATACTGGAAAACACACTTTGGATGCAAATACCAATCAGTTACTTCTATTTCTTGATTCATTGGGGTGCAATCTCCTATCCATACTATCACAAGACTCCAATGAATCTCAACAACAACAAAATAAACATATCAATAGATGTTCTGTCTACTTACTTCATCGTATAAATCCGTAACACCCAAGCTCAAGGACTGTTGCTGTTTTATCTATAGTGAATAATGCATGAACACCACTGGATGTATTCTACACATTATAGAACCCAGAATCTGTTGTTAGAGTCATCTATATTCACAACAAACGTTACAGTTGCTCTGAATACTGAGTTTCTCAAAGAAACAGCAATCCCAAGGACATTCTCAGGCTCCCAGTGGCAGTGGGACAGCTGTCAGTGTGGTTTGCCAGCACTTTGGGGAGCAAAATACAGTCGGGGGGCAGGGAATAAATTTCCAGTGGAAAACCAATGCAAGGACATGATTTGGGTTGGACATGTTGGGGCTCTGCAATGGTTCTTTCTCCGAGATAACAGTAGACAGGTTAAGCATGCTTCTTCAAACATGTGCAATTGGGCCTTGAGACATGACACGTTTCAGTCTGTGTGGCTTCCCACCGCTGCCTTCTCTTCTGCAACCCCACACTGCCACCTCTTCCCCCGCAGCCTCCTGACTCCTTCACAGTCTACCCCCATGCTGAAGGCAGCAGCGGAGTAAAAGGAGGCTGCAAAGGAGATCTGCCATTGGAGATGACTACCTCACCTCACCTCATGGGTAAGGTGACTCTGTTTCCCGTCTATGTTGTTGATCCAGCTCTGCTATGCTTAAAGCTAAAGGTAAAGGGACCCCTGACCATTAAGTCCAGTTGTGACCGACTCTGGGGTTGCGGCGCTTATTTTGCTTTATTGGCTGAGGGAGCCGGCGTACAGCTTCCGGGTCATGTGGCCAGCATGACTGAGCCGCTTCTGGCGAACCAGAGCAGCACACGGAAACACTGTTTACCTTCCTGCTGGAGCAGTACCTATTTATCTACTTGTACTTTGTGCTTTCGGAATGCTAGGTTGGCAGGAGCTGGGACCGAACAACGGGAGCTCACCCTGTTGCAGGGATTTGAACTGCCAACCTTCCGATCGGCAAGTCCTAGGCTCTGTGGTTTAACCCACAGCGCCACCCGCATCCCTCTGCTATGCTTAAGTTGCCACTGAATCCTACAAGACCCACGACAACAATCCAATTAGTATGACAGCAATGGAGAAGTCCAGCCTTTCTGCTGTATTTGAGGAAGACCAAGAAGCTGATTGCCAGTGTGAGGCTTGGCAATCACTCCACCAGGCCCTCTGCCAAACTTTGGCCATTTGGCCACCAGTGCTGTCCCAGTTATTTGCAGTGCCTGAGAGCAATGCCACCACCATCCCATGGCTCCCTGTCAACCCCTTCCTTCTCTTCCTCTCCATTCACTTATTTTTTCTGCTGCTGTTGTTAAATTGCCACCTGCAATAGTGGATGGATTTGCTGCCGTGGCTGTAAAGGCTTCTAAAGCTCAGAGGCTCCCAGGCAAAGCAGAGAGGAGAAGGCTGCTGTGTATGGAACCTCTCAAGGAAAGCAGTGCCTACATGCCACCACCTGGACCTGGCAATGCCAGATTGGGCTACTGAGGGGCCCTTCTGAGTGCCGTTGCCCAACCCGGACAACCAAGGGTGCTTGGCCTGCTTTTAATTATGCTGTTTCATAGTTTCACAGCTAGCCCTGTCACCTATCATAGCAAGCAAGTGGGGATTCTCTTCAGATTCTGCCTCCAGCCACAGAACACTTGGAGTGGCTATTCCTCAACATTAGCATAGCGTAATGTTTCAGTCTCACCATAATCACCTTCCACAATGCTGCTGCATTAGTATTTAATGAGGTCAGAATTAGAGGGAGAGAAAAGGAAATTTCACCTTTCCTGTAAATTGGATTTCTGTTAATTGGATTGCAAGCCAGGTCCCGCTTTGTTCTGTCTGCTATTGTATTCTGGCCCTTTCCGATTGTGCTCTGCTGCCGCCCAGATTTATTTGGATTTCTTGCCTATATGCTGTAGTGTCTAACTATTAGTGACTGCACTGTGACATAGCCACATGATGATGTCAAAC